GAGAAACCAGAAAGGCGAATAAGGAATGGTAGCTAAAGAGAAACGGGTGAGCAAAGCTGTTTTACAATGGAGCATTTTTCCAGAGAAGCCTTTTGGGAGGCAGGTGAGAAATAGTGGTGTACCTGGCAGCAGCAGTGTGGAGAGTGAGTGGCTCAAGGTTGCCACTGAGAGAAAGATCATTGGGAAGACAGAAACACTTAAAAAACAAACCAGTGAGCTTTTGCAGAGGATACAGAAGGCTCAGAAGACAGCCAGCAAGGGGAGAGAAAGTAAAGAAGCTAAGTAATGAATATATGCAAAAGGGAAGTTATATTGCTGGATAAGCTTGCAATGTAATTTGAAAGACCTGACGGATATCATGCAGCGGCAAATCTGAAGGTACAGAAGCTACTTGACTCACTATGCAGCACAAGAAGCATTTCATGGATTCACATGGGCTTGCAAGTATCAGGAATCTACATGCTGGTACCTGGGTGCATGGTGTAAATTAGAGGTGGTGCAGCCCCCTCTAACAGCTGTGCTTCTCTTACTGCCTGGACAGTTTTGGGTGCACATTCTACACAGGATCTTTGGGGCTGATTCCATTTCTAAGGAACCCATCTACTCCACAACACAAACCAAGCAATGGTACTTGGGGGTGGGACTATTTTAAAAGGACAGGCCCAGCTTCAGACAAACACACCAATGTAAGTATTGGCAAAGGAAAGATCTTTTCCTTTGGTGGGGTGGTATGTCACTATCTTGGAAGTTGTGTTTTAAATGCACATTCCACCAAGACTGGTTAATTTGGTCTGTGGGAAGATAGTAAAGAAGTAAATGAGCAGCTGGTGGGCTCCCCTGAGGCTCTAGTTATTCACCTTTGTATCATCTCTGATGCACACAAAAAGGCGGGAGAGGGGTGGCTGTAAGTGGTTGAGCAGGGTATTTTCTAAAAAATACTGAATTAAATTATTGGAATTTGATAGGCTAGAAGGAGAAACAGAATTATCTCTTGCATTTCAGTTCTGTAGTTGAATAGGTGCAAAGATAGATGGCTTGTTACTTCACCACAGTGTATTTTGTAACCTTGTAATACAGGCTTTTTGGCTAATTTCTGATAGAGATAGAGTGGAGAGAGCAGGTTTATTGTCTTCTCAATCCTTGCCTGCTGAAACTTGCATCCTCATTTCATACTTGTTATTAAAAAACAAAATAAAACAGAAAAAGCCTGACTTGAACCTCAAGCTTCTGTTTCACTCATTTGTTTGAATACCAAAACAAGGCAGTTATCTCACCATGAAATAGAAAACCTGACTGAATAAGTCACAGATTTGTACAAACGTCAGCTGGAGGAATGCTTCATGTGTATTAACAAGTTTTAGAAGAAAAGATTTTAGGCAGTCTGAAAAACACACCCACGTAGTTCTGCATTGTAATTTATTGGCAGGACACCTTGTGAAAACCAGTTGTCACATTGACAAGGATCCTTATTGGCAGCATCTAATTATCTAACATATATTATTACTTATCATGTTTTTTTTTTCCTTCTCCCCTGGTGAGCTAATGCTTATCAATTACAAGGAAGTGGGTGGAGTTAGGGCGGGACAAAAGTAGAAATTACCTTACCATTGAGAGTATCGGTAGTGTCAGTCTTCAGTGAGCAACAGCCTTCTCCTAGAGACAGCTGTGGCTCTTAGAATGTGTAATTTTGATTTGCCTCTATCTCTTGAAGCTTGCTAGATTTTCCACTACAGATGAGCATATATTCTCAGAAAGGCAGCTGGTTGGCATTTTGGAGAAGCAAACATGGAAGAAAATAGAGAAGACCATGGCCTTGCAGAAGGCAAGATTTTGTCTGTCTGGATGATTTTGTTTGTGGCATTAATTTTACTGCCTTCGATATTTCGAGTGTCACTGGGGATTTCTCATTTCTATGTGAAAATTGTAATTAAAATATTAGAGGTAAGTTGAGAAGTAGATTCAAAAGGTATGTGTCTGCTACAGGACATGTTTAATAAAAAAATAAAAATGTGTACATTTGATAGAAATGTCATAAAAGTCAACAGAAAAAAATCCATTAACTTGCATGTGTTGTTTGCAGCTGTACTTTATGTGATGATCTTTTGAGGGGTGTCTTTAATGATATCTAGTTATGTGCTGGTTTATAATCTGCTACTGGTTTGAGGTTTTTTTGGGGTTAAAGTAGAGATTCCATGGTACTTTCTTCTAGTTCATGCTTGTTAGAATGCTTTATGCAAGTAGAATACTCACGACAAGTCAAGTATAAAGAAAAAGATCTATTAGTTTGTGGAAGTTGGTAAGTAATAAAAGCATGTATTTTAGATGTATATCAGTTTCAGTGGTTTTACTTGGATTGTTTTAATTGCATGGAATTAATACTCCAGGTAAGAATATTGATTCTGTGTCTTTGCTTCACCCAGTTATAAATCTGGGGGATCTGCAGTTCAACTTCTGCTGTAGAAGTCTTAAAGGAATATGTCTGCAACCTTCTAAAAGTGTAATTTTTCTAGAGATAAACAGATCATGGCAAAGATCCTGATCTGCTTCTATCATTAAAATGTTTCTTGGGCTTTTTATAAGCCAGAATCTGATTTAGTTTTTCAAGTTTGACTTTTGATATCCATTATTAGCCAGAAGTAGGTGCTGTGAATTCATCATATTGAGCAGTGAGGCATTTCCATTTTCCAATAGATTAACTTTATGGTTCTGGCATAAACCTGCTTTCTGTGAATATACTTTCTACTTGTGACAGAAAACATGTTACTATTATTGTGGCTATTATTATTAAGTTGTTGGAGTAATTTGTTTTGCAGTAGAACATGTCTGTAACAGTGTAATACAGTTAATATCATGACCATCTTACCTTGTCAATTCTGTCTTTTATTTGTCTCATGTTCTCTTTAATTTGTTGTTGTTGGGGGTTTTTTGTTTGCTTGTTTGTGGGTTTGGGGAAGGTTGTTTGTTTTATTTGTTTTAATACTGATTAAGAGCTCTTGTGCACTATCTCCCTACCGTTGTATGAACATCATTTAGCACAGTGTACATTTAGCAGACTGCAAAATTTAGGGATCACTTATTTTTTTCAGATACTGATGTCAGTGGGCAATGGCTGCCTGTGGTGGCTGTGTGTAATACTGGCCTTTATATGTGAAATATTTTTTAATCAGCCAGTGGTATGCTAATTAAATTCCTATTCATGCCCTAATTAAGAGCTACTATCTTATCAAACCTGTCTCTGGACGGCTTTGCTGCTGTAGTTTGTGAACATCAAAAATAATTTCTGGGGTTTTTTTCCCTGTGCATTTCCCAACTTTAAGAGACCTTTGACCCACTCAGTGTGTGTTTTATGTAGGAAGGCACTTCTTTCATAAAGCACATTAAGCATTTTTCTCTCCACAGTTTTTGTAGCAGGTTATGAGCATGATAATTCCATGCTCACAGTGTGAAGGATCAATATATTGAAAAATAAATACATTAATTGTTATGTGATCAGTTATAGCCTTTTGTGTCTAGCTCCCTGGTGCCACAGCATCTAATAACAGGAACAGCACAACTCCATGCACTGCTGTTTAGGCTGGCTCATTTTGTTCTTTTGTCCAAAGCTGTTCCCTAATTGTCCTGTGGGCAAAAAAGGAGTTTCCTCTGTTTTCATCTTACAATTAATTCCAATGGTTTTCGTTGAAGTATTGTCAAATGCTTCTCATTGTGCCACAAGAGTATCTTGGGATTGGTGGGAAATGGGAGGGAGAAAGGATGGGGAGGGGATGTTAGGTCCCCTTTGCTTATAATGTGGCTCACTAGGCTCTTTGGAAGAAAGGGTAGGACTGGAAAATACTAGGTTAAAGGAATTGCTGGGCCTATTCTTGGAGTCATGGGGCTTTTTCAGCAGAATACGGCCAAAATTGCAGTTTGGGATAAGTCAGTCTTAAAGCAGGCTTGTTTGAGGTATGAACAACCTGACACAGAAAGCCTAGAGGGGTGTTGACTGGTTTCTAGCTGTGGTGTTGTGTTCCTGCGATATGGTTAATGGGATAATGCACAGAGACTATCTGTAGTTCCTGTTGTCTTCTGGAATGGTGAAACAGGATGCCTCCCCAGAGAGCTGAGCTGGAAATGCTGAAGATGCTTATTATCACATATTGGCGCACTACTGACTATATTGCAGGAATATCACTGCTCTAGGAAGTGCCAAACAACTGGGTGATGCTTCAGCAAAAATCCAACCTTGAGCACTATGGCTGGTCTCTCCCTTGTGTTGTGTTTGACTTGGTCTGTTATGTAGACCAGGAAAATTAATAGAAAACTTCTCACCTAAGGAGTTTTTTTCTTACAGCTGAGCAGAGGGAAAGCATGTTTTATTTTCCTCCATGTTTGACAACTTGAGAAAAATAGAAGAGTGGAGACTGAAATCAAGGACTTAAAAGTCAAAAAATAATTTTTAAAGTTCTGTTTTCAAAGAAAATTTATCTTTAGATCTTACTTAATTTGCTGGGAACAAAAAAGGTGTTTTAGAATAAAGCTCAAGTTTTCAGATCTATCACTAAGCAATGAATAATTGTGGCATATGATAAGTCACTTTGATTTCTTGACTTCACTGAAGTATTTTAGCACTGTGAATGGTGATTAGAATAAAGGGGAAAGATGTAATCATGTACGGAAATATTTTTTGCCCTCTGTTGCTTTTCTATCAAGGAATATAGATACTTGTTATTTTAGAATGAAAATGAATCATTTTATAAAAGCAAGATTCTAGATTTGAAAATTTGGGGTGGCTGTTTTTGTTTGCAGGTGCTTTTTGTGGTTGGTTTTTTGTTTGGTTTTCTGGGGTTTTTTTGAGGACATATAGATAATAAAATAGCAAAAGACCTCCAATAGAGAAAAGTCTCAACTGCATATCTGCTAGCCTATAATTATTATTATTTATATCACCCTTAATTTATCCTTCAAATATTTCTGGAAATTATAAAGGTGAATGTGGTTTGCATTTTGCTTGGGTTATTTTTTCACTTTTATGCATGAAAACTTTTATTTGTAAATAATGTCTTTTCTCTGAGCTTTGTCCATCCTGGGGTTTGTTGGAGAAGAGAATATTAGCAAATCTGCCAGGGATGTTACTCCAGCAATTGCCAAAGAAGATGCATTTGCTAGGATGAAATCTATGCTGTGCTCTCAGAGCCCTATGAAGAGTCAAAGAAACACATTAAACAGCTGCAGCTCCATTTGCCAAGAAATATTCTTGGAGTTTTACCAGATCTGAACCTCTGTATTAAATTGGAGCATTGTTGCTTCTTGAGAAAAATAAATCAGCCAGCTAAAAATTGTGAGTAGTTTTTGCATTGAGAGCACGCTTGCACACACAGGTAGTTTATATACTGTAAACTCCTACTGGAGTATGGCAGATGACAGACACTTCAGTTTTCAGTGCTGAAAAACTGCACTGGTGTGCCTCTAAGTACATGGTTATCCTTAGCTGGCCTCTCCATCAAAACTCAAGTAAATTATACCTGTGCTTTTATCCCAAAGAAAGCATTCTCAACCCATTTCATAAGTACTCATGGAGCAGCTGGGAGATTTGTGAGTCCTTTTCACAGTCTGAGGGTGGACTGTCACATCCTCTCAGACACTGAGTGTAACACTCACACCATTTCATCTGGGTTCAAGTTTGTGATGGGCAAGGGGAAATGAGGCCAGGCAGAAACCACTGTTGGATGAAGAGGTCATGAGTGTTTGATCTCAGATGGTGATTTTATTTTGTGCTAAAAACCTACCAACCTTCTCTTCACCACCATAATGGAAGACTTTACTTAGAAGAATTGCCCCAAAGCCTTTGTCACACATGAGGAAAAGATTGCAAAAAGTTCATGTAATGAGTAATTAGAAAAACCTTTTATGAGAATATGGGAGAAGAGGTATTAAAATATGGGGAGAGAGGCAAAGCTGAATTATTACATAGTATGGAAAAATGGAGTATTGAGCTGTACTTGAAAGGGAAAAAGGAGGAAAAATCCTGCAAGAAATGAGATCTCAGAAAATGAACATTCCACATATTTGTTTCATGTCATGTCCTGTGAAGACAGTAATTAACGTAGTGAAATATTGGGCACCCTCATTTTGTTTAGAATGTAATTACAGGAAGCTCAAACAAATGGGCTGTTGGAACTAAGCTGTCAAGTATTCAGTATTCCAGGTGGGATCAACTGTGTGGTGTTTGGACTCCTTGTGTCCTCATCACTTCAGAAATGGGAGTGAGGAAAGAACAACACCTGAGCTCTCATTCAGTCAGCAAACGTAGGAATGAAGTTGCTACATTTAATACTTAAATTCTGTGTTGCAACATCGGTGGTTTTTTTGTAAGGTATTTAAAACATCCTTTCATTACTGTTTTGCAATGAAGACCAGCGTGACAGTTCTGTCTCAATACTGTGCAATACAAAGGTAATCACAAAACCTTATTTCATTTTTGAAAACAGATTATACATACAGATGCTACCAAATGCAGAACAACTCAGTAGCCACCCCTCAGTTAATTAGTCTAGGGTTTGACCCAGACAGATGGCTTTGACAGGTGTCAATTCCATGGTTTGACTGAAAGCCTAAGACCTGCGTGACAGAACAGCTGTATTCCCACCTCACTGCTTGTGCTTCAGCCTCCCATGCCAAGCCATGAGTTAGGAGAATTGTGTCCTATGATGGTTTGTGGAAATATATTGCCTTTTTTCTTACTCACACACTCTGCCCAAAGCTTTCTCATGGTAAAACTCAGTTCTTGTAGTAGAAGAGAAAACTGATAACTATTCCCTAAGCACCTGCTCTGTGCCAGTCTAGACTTTGTAGATGCCTGTCTTAACCCATCTCAGCCAGCTCTTTTCCAAGCTAATGAGCCCTGTTCAGCCTTTGAAAGCTCTTCCTCATCTTTCTTAGACACTGCCTTTGTAGCCTTGACTATTTAGTTAGTCTGACACTTTTGCCCCACTCTTTCTCTGTGCTAGGAGGCAATATTTTATGATTTTCTAGTAAGCTCTATACATTTTTGGGCTTTGACTTGTCTTGCTCATTTAGATTAGTTAATGTGTATTTTCGGAGTCAGCTTGATCAGTGATTGTCACCCTTTTTCTATCTGGGAATCAAAAGCCAGCCTCCTGGAGGTATTCCAGATCCTTCAGGACAGTATAAGCAAGCTCACTTCTGGCAGTGCTGGCCAGTTGACAGGTGCTTTTTTATGTAGGAGGACAATGATAGGTGAGATAAGGATGGCAGACAGGAGACAGGAAAGCAGAGACTAAGGCAGAAGGCTTTATTTGTCAGTCTCAAATATTTTATATTTTATACTTTATACTTTTTCCTCCCTTGTGCCATGCAACTATCCTAAAGGATGTTGGGGAAGGGATGAGGACTAGCAGTATTTTTTAAACAGGTTAAATTTTCCACGTCTGCCTTTACTCTCTTTTGCAACGTTCCTGTACCTGTTCTGTATGTTCTTTCATTTCTCAGTGTGTGGGCTGCTGTTTTCATGACATCCCCTGGCTCCACCATTCTGAATGACTCTCCATGTGTTGCGAAAGATTGTGAGAGATGATGTACCTGTTGACCTTTTCAGGAGAATAATTGGGAAGTATAGACAAGATGACGGTCTGTGGTGTGGGTTTTTTAATTTATTTTTTGGGGGGGTTGTTTGCTTTATGGTGTTATTAAAGATGGTTTGTATGGAGTTTAGAATACCACATCAAAGCCTATTCTGCCTTCAATTTTTTCTTTTATTTTATGATGGCTGATAAAAAAAAAAAGGTCAGCTAAAGGTAACTAAAATATCCTAATTATGTCAAGGCAAAGTGTCCATTTTGTTACTGAGTTAACTTTAATAGCTACAGAAAGAGCTGGTAGAAAGCATGCTAAACTTAAGGGTGGCACAAAGCTGGCTGGTGTTTGCACATGAGACTTGTTATAATGTAGTAGGAACTATTTGAGATCAGCTTTGTGGTGGCTTGTGTAGCTGCACATGTCAGCTAGAGGGAAATAGGGTATTTAGCAAGAGTTTATATGAAGCAGATGGATTATCCTTATCTCTTGGGAGATGGGAAACTTTAATTTCAGGTGAAGGCATAAACTGAGTGGGTCACTGAGCCTTTAATAGTAAGAGCCTATGCTCAAGCATCCTGTGCCCTTTGTTAGGGCACCTGCCTAACAGGTGGACATAAATACAGCCCAATTTTAGTACTTATGAGAGCTACTATTTATATGTCTATGTATGCATGATGAAAACATTCAAAACTAGGAAAACTTAAAAAATCAGGCACACTTTTTTATTTGATTTTGCTAATTGAGACTTTTATGATGCCCTGCACATGGAGAAGAAACGGTTTAGCTCAAAAATATGAATACAGGGAAGGGTGAAAGCTCATTACCAAAGCTGCTACCTTCTGAAATACTATTGATGCAAAATGTTGCCAGTTCTGTTTTCTGTCAACAGAGTCCACTTGAATGCCCTCAAAATCATGAAATCTCTTTTATTCTTTAAGGTTCATTTTTTTAGATCTATTTTTCTGGCATGTCTCTAATGTCAGTGATATTACTTTGTATAATCCTATTGCCTAAAGCTATCTGGAGAGGAGAGAGTTTTGGACACGTTGGATCTATGGTCTCATAGGTAGCTCAGTAATTTGTTGGACCCCCAGAAAAAGCCAACTGCCTGTGTCGTGAAAAGAAGTTTGAGCCAAATAATTTTTACTGGAAATGGCAAAAGGTAATCTATGTAACAAATTAAACAGGAGGCATGGAGGGCACCCTTCAGGCTGAATTTGAAAAATGAAAATCTAAGACCTGTCAGGGGTAAAAGAGGCTCAGAGAATTCACCTGAGGTAATTGCAGAATGTCTGGAAATGATGAAATGAAAATGATCAACATCTACTTTTCTTGTTTTGGGAACAGTGGGCCACCCTGCAGATTGAGGAGGGAGTAAAAAAGCAGAAGGCGATGGCACTTGAAAATTTAATCTCCACTGGTAAGATCTCTGGATGAAGGGGACACAGCACTATTAATTTTGTAAAAAGGCAACTATTTAAGAATCTTAGAAAGGAGTTTGATGAGCAAATATCCATTGAAGTTACAAACCTACATAAACGTGTTATAAAAAAGATAATCTCTGATTGAGTTTCGTGAATAAAAGGAATTAGAGACTAGTGTGGGTATAGAAAGATGTTGCTCATAAACATTTGGGAAGCATCCCTGTTTTCATAAGTTTTTTGCTTTCTGGCTTCATCAGCTCTCTCTTTACAGGATTAGGAGGAACAAGTGTTCTTTGTGCTTGACATGGCTCTGCATGGTTATCTTTTGCTTCTTGTAACTCCCAGAATGCAAAAAATCCAGGGTCTTTTCAAGTAAAAGAGTTACAGCATCCTTTTCTAGATATGATGATAAAATCCAAATAGTTTTTTTCCCTAACTATTTTTCCTTTCTTTGACCACATGGGAGTGAGTTAAGTTCTCATAGTTATCCTTTTACCTGTAGTGTCATTAGTCATGTAGGTTCCTTATTTGTCAGCTTATAATTTTCTGGTCTGATGATTTCCTGAAAGTTGAAGGTTTTACTAAAGTACAGATGGGGGAAAGTTTTGTGATTCTGATGAGGGGTTGGTTGATCAAGATAAATTGTCTTTTTACAATGCATATTTAATGTCATCCAATACACACAC